CAACCAATGCTAGCATTTATTAATTAACGGAGATTAAAAGATCATGAACCATTTATCTCCGCTATATCTCCACTCTAATTAATACCGTTACGGTATTCTTAATAACAGTATGAAGGCAATCAGGTTACGAGTACTTTAGAAAGGACCATAAGAAATCACCATCATTCATGTTATATGATATACTGACATGTGATGTTGTGATTATTTGTTGTAAATGGCATGGATTAACTATGGGATTTACTGTGTATTAAAAAATTTACCTTACTGACGTGAATTATTGGGTAAGCAAAAGCATGAATTGGATATACAACATTACTTGGGTCTCGATTTAATGCAATTCAAATTTTTAACCAATTTGATATCTAATTTCTTTTGGGTATCGCTTTAATTTGTATCTGAATTGACGTAATCTTCGCACTGAATATGACGGCTATAGTAATATTTATTTCTTACACTAGAGCTTATTGGTATTTAGAATATTATGTCCTTGTCAATTACTGAAAGAAAGATGCTTCTCTAGTCTGCATCGTGACTTCTGTCCAATAGCACAGTTAATCTTGCTTTAATATAAAATGTTGGCATAGAACTTTATGTTGTCATAAAATGATAGCACATCACATTTTAAATCGACCTAGATGACTTCCAAACGTTTTAGTAACTATTCCATCAAACTCTAAATTAAATGCCAATTTGGAATTTATCGTGAAATTGCTATCTATATTACAATATTTAGCTTAAAGCCTTAGTTTTTGGTTTCACGTACATCCCTCTTTTATTTACTGTTAGGAACTTCTTAATTCGAATTAAGTGTCATTTTATTTGGAAGCATCATTTGATATACCTACTTCATGTTTCGTTTCAATGATTCCGTCGTTTTGTCATTTTAACTGAAAGTTGAGATAGTTCAGAAATTACGAGTTTTATTAAGTTAAAAAATACCCTGTGCTTCGCAGGTGGATCATTACGACTACAACACTGTGACATATAATGATAATTAAACTGCTATTGTATCAATTCCTGTTCTAGTTAATGCTACCTAATGTATGCTAGCTATATTTTGAATTTTAGAGTGAAATTCATACGATATGTTGTCTAGCCTATCTTTTATTTTATCAAACTAATCCGATGTTAAAATTTACTTAATCGCTTTGACAAGTTCAGAAGGTACCTTCTTTGCCGCAATATTTAAATAAATCATTTAGGGAGAATGAAACCAAGATGTAGCACTTTAGTTCAAATTAATAATAAAAGTAATCACTAGTTTAAATGTTACCTTCACCAAACTACATAGTTAACGAGTAAATTTCTCTGTAAGACAAAAGAACAACATTAAAATTGTCGACTATCGATGCTATCAATTGGGAATTTATTTTAATTGATATATAAGTGAATGAATTAGAAAAAAGTTGCATTTCTAGATATTACAGATTCATTAGAATTGTGCCTTGGCATCTAGATAATCAAATACGTTAAAATTCCCTCATGAGAGAAAAAGTAAAGTACATCCGCAGATTATTGGTTATTATGATTTTACAACAACAGTTTACTAGATTTTATTATATCAGACATACTATGGACGGGGTATAGTGTGGATTGTTACCCCGGTACCTTATAGTGGACGCATTTTAATGCAATTTAAAAATAATACCTTTAAGTGTCATAATAAGGCAAATTTCAGACTTGCCGATTTGAAAATCAGAACTTGAGCAAGAAATTTGACTTAAAGCGTGGTAACTCAGAAAATTGTATCCTATAATTGTTCTCATATTACTGTTTTGATAAAGTAACGTCACAGATAATTTAGTTTGTGCATTCAAAATGATGGAACGCAAATACATAACAGTGATAGTGATAGGAAATGTACGACGAGATGATGAGAAACGTAGATCTGATGAAAAAAATCACCGTCAATGTTTTCCTATAGCAAAAATACATGCATGCGTTCATACAGCGGTACATTTTCGATGAATACTGTAATATCAGCGGCAGCTAAAGCTCATACTCGAGAGGATGGGAAAACTGTCGTAATAAGAATAAATGATAATGTTTATCAACACCAGCGTTATCGTCTTTTACTAAAGATTATTATTAAGGATAACCTTAATTGCCAATCAATTCAACTAAGATATATACTAAAGCATAATACACCGGTATGCCATCTCTTCTATTGTGGTTTCTTACGAGAATAGATTAAGTTTTCAAATAGTACAAGCTATACAGGTAAACAGCCGTTTCAGCAATGTTATCCATGTGACAATAACTTCTGCTGTAGTAGTCTGATCAATAATTACTTTCGATGTTCACCGATTTTGATTATTCTTATGGCAGTATTATATAGTGTAAGATACAAATAGAAAAGGATGTAAGATCCTTAGCTTTAAGAATCTCAAAATATTAAGTTGGAATACCAAATGGTATTTGGCGGCGATCTAGATGTTCTAAACGCTGGACTCAGGTCCACTAACAGCCTAGTTGCAAAGTACCTAAAATCATGATTAATTATTATAATTATTATTATAGGATAATGATACACACATGAGATATTATCGGATTCAGTTTAAGTTTTACAATAATTACATATCTTTCCTTACAATTTTACTTGCGTGGAATAGTATATCAGTAAGCTATAATTAGTCAAGTAAGTGGATTTATTCAGAAAAACTATCGACGCCGACAGATATATTTCCTGCTGTACCTAGCATAGTATTCAGACTAGATAGAAGTCAAAAATTTAGAGATTTATTAAATATCTTCTTAAACTATTGATAGTTCTCTAGCTGGATTAATTTAATATCTACAATTTTAATTGCACTTTGTTTCTGACTAGTATAAAAGCTATTTGAGCATTTTAGATGGTCAACAGCCACTGTATTATCGGCCGTCATTTTTCTATTTGTCGTATATGATAGATCGATTAATCTATCAAAATGATTGCGTGTTGAATATTAATCGGCGGCATTCCTATCTTTACTTACCACTTTCAATTACATTAATGTAGATATTAAATTGCAATAGTTCGTTCGAAATCTAGACTTAAACATAAGCGTATACAGTTTTTTGATTCTAAAATTTCATTTTTGATAATATGTCAGACGATAAAATGTATAGTTGTCACAATTTCACTTCTGCGACAAGGTAACGTACAGTAAAAGTCTATAAGTAGCTACTGACTTAAACGCCCTTTTACTTAACGTTAAACACACATAGCAAAAGACTGTAAAGATAAAACTTTTTTTAGCAAAGATACATCTACAACTTTTTACCAGCACTCTCAACTCAAATGTTCCCGTTTATATAGGAACCGTCTAATTTGTAAACAACAGTATTATTATTATACCTTACTAGGAGAAACATCTCGAACTGCGATGTTCCTTACATAGCTTTTCTATCAGTAAATATTTTGAATCTCTTACTCATACTTAATCTTAATCTAAGCTCGTAGGTTGTCTAATTCAACTATCATCAACTAGAACTTGAATCATCTTACTGCTATCTGTCACACAATAACAATCAATATCAAATATGTAATGAACTATTACAAACAACATCCACGTTAAGGCATTACTTATCTTACCTAGCACTACAAATATGGATATTCTCCATAATAGCTACTACTGTACTTATAAAACTATCCTGATGACAAGGCAACACCGTAACAATAGTTTACAAACGACTAATAGCGTATTTCTAGAGATCTTTTATCAACTTGAAACCTTTTCATTTCCAGCAGCGTTAAAATACCTATCGTAATTACTGGAAGAAAATAAAGGTCTTGATAAAAGCTAAAATTTGTCAAAAGAATAAAAATTAAGCTTAATATGACTGTTTATGTCTACAGGAAGAAACTTTCTTCTCTTTAGTTAATCATTATGCTTTATAAATTTGCTTTTGAAGGCAATCGTAGCAAATAGAACTGATAGCAATAAAATCAAATTCTCATCAACCTATTGGCTATTCTTTATTTTTATTTTCTATGTATTGCTTGCACTTATTGTATTGTGCTCTAAATAATACAAATAGATAGTCTTGGAAATTTAAATTCAATAGGATGATTGATAGAAAATCATATTAGTTAACACAATAAGCTCCATAGCCAACAGCTAAGTTCAATATTACTTTTATCATGGCTAGTGCTTTAATCTATAGCTACTATTATAGACATTAATTTACATAACCGCAAGGGTAGCCATTAGCAAACGAAAATAGTTCGGTCGATCCCATTAGATAATTAATGGCATCCTTATGTTAAATTCTTTTTGTTTCTTGACATAATTAACATAATATAGGCATTAAAGCACTCAAATCATTTATAGAAACATCTACTATAGTTCAATACAATTATCATTAGAGAGCGATCATCAAAGTAATCATTTAATCAGTAATACCCGTAAGTAGATGATCAAGTTCTATGATAATAATTACTAAACCTTTACACTATTTATTTTTGGGATCTATCATCCTAATTACCTTCAGTCATTATTGAAGGCATTTTTAACGACTAATTGTATAATATCTAAAAATAGAGATGATGATGACTTAGCTGAATGATTATCAACTAACTTATTAGTCTATTCTGAAGGCCTATAAATAAAAGGGAGGAAATCTATTGTTTAGCTTATAACTGTCTGCGACATCGTAGATTGTCTACATTTTATTTAGTCTCCATCCATCGACAACGATAGAGCAAACCCTTTTTCCATTATTGAGAAAATGGATCCATTTTTGTTTAGCTATGATACGAAATTCGAAATTAAATGATAGTCGATTGATTTTAAGATTAGAATTCAGTTTTTCACTTTTTGTTTTCATATCTCAATTAGTATGCTTATTCTACGGAATCTATATTCATTTACTGATTGATTCACTTAAATTAAACTGTTTCACATGATTAAACTGATACCGTAACCATTACTTAGATAAAATGTAAGGATTATTTTTTTGATCGTATGATTCTTACAGTTAGCAAAAATTTTCCCAAATAACAAATTCAAAGCAAGGCAATGATGGACAAATTTGAAACTGATCAAGTTAAACGTGTTAAAGAAGTTTTCCAGGTATTAGATTCTGATGGAGATGGAATGCTATCCCATTCGGAACTAAAAACTGTGTTACAAAACTTAAATCAAAACTGGGCTGATAAAAAACTGAATGATGTCATTTTGGACATTGATAAAAATGGTGATGGTTTAATTAGTCAAGATGAACTCTTGAACTGGCTGATTAACGTTGATTCAGGTTAGTTTTCCGTTTTTTTTAGCTAGTAAGGATCTTTTACTTAAGTTTACTGTATAATAGCTAGCCTGGTATGCCCATAGGCAAAATTTATGGATTCATTACTGAGTACGTTAAGTCGTTAAGATACAAGACGATTTACAATTTTTATATCTCCATCCTCTGATATAAGAACTAAATTTGATCTACTTTATAGCATGATGAACTTTACTTGCTGTTAGATTATCGCAGTTACACGACATGGCCAAATTAGAATATCCTAATAAATTATACACATACATTCCGGTCATTTATTATTCTGAGATAATTTTACAATCACGACAATATCTTATTCTGAACACTTAATATTATTTAAATTGATGTTTACTGATTTTAAATACATTTCATGCTAGTATGGCTTTTATATTCTAATTTTATTTACTCTGTAGGATGAGCTTTATCTCACTTCTATCGCGAGTAAAAAAGATACTTTTTGTAGACTAAAGCTGGATTTGTAACTATGTTCAATAAATTTTCCGCATGACTCAGCTATTTACTTCCTTGCTAGATTTTCCCTTACAAGAAGTCAAGTTTTCTTTTCTTAGATTTTCGGTTCTAAATCAGCTGAGCCAGTTCTTAGTGAAGCATGAAAGTAATCTAAATCTATCATTTACTGCTCTACTTAAATTTAAAATTTGATGTTACCTCTCTTATAACTGTAATTATAATTCTATGACTTACCAGTTTATTATCATTTCAAAATAGTATCATTTCCGGATATAAATTCGGTAATTTTCTACTGAAATGGATGATTGGATTTAATTTATTGACTATAGAACAAGTTCCAAAACAGCTTCTGTTAAGGCTATAACTTTTTTCCTAAAATTAAAATCTTTTTTAAGTCAAATAATTTTCAAAATAGAACTAGCTGTCTCGAAATATCGTCTCGATATCACGGATTGCAAAATTTATTTTGAAAGGGAGCAATTTTCTTCCTTATTAACAAACTAGATTACAGAATTAAAAACATTCTATTCAAGATATATCGATTATTTTGTTGTCATAACCCCTTTATTTTATACTATTACAATTATTTGAATACATGCTTTTAAGAGTTATAAACTTCTACATCAGATAAAAGTATAAATTTGAGAGTCGGGTTTAAGTTCAATTATTGATGAAAAACATAAACGAATAGTTCTAAGTTTCTTATAAATTATAACTATTCTTTGCTAAGTAATGATTTTATGATCATTCACTTTTACAATTTATGATTCCGAAAAGTGTTTACGTATGCAAGGAAACAATTTTTTCATCAATGCTATAATATAGATAATCCTAGATCTAGCAGGCGGAAAGTATAGTCAATGGTTGTTGTTGATCTACTTTATGCTCATTGTTACTACATTGAAATCTAATGAAGTTAATTGTAACAACAAATAGGTTATGGTAAATCATGGAAAAAATTAAATACGACTGAAGTAGTCCATTATCCTATAACAACTAAATAATGATCGAATTTATGGAATTATCTATTTTAACAGTTGCGTGATGCTTTGATTAAATCTCTTTTCTTAAACTTCTTGATCCTTTTCTGAATTGAATATTAGTAAGATTTTACAATGCAGCCATTGTAAAATGCGCTATATCTTTGCTTGTATTGTCGCTCATCATTATCCTATATCTATGAATATATCACAATTCAAGTGGAATTACTATGGAGATCAAAGTTAAAAGCATATTGAAATACCATAATAGGAAGTCGATTTCTAGATATGTTATGTACTCGAAAGAGTGGAATAGCTTAGTGAACAAAATTAAGCAGTGTACTTTACCACAGTATAACATAACAAAGGACTAAAGACACAACGAAAAAATGAAATTTTTGTAGAGAAAAACAACGTAAATAGTTTACCTGTAATATGGGGCAATATCCTTTATGTTACAGTACATCACAATTATCGTACTGTTATGCGAAATCTAGTATAATAATCTCATCATCACTCTCTTTTCTTTGTAGTCTCTTATAGCGTTATACCAAGAAAAGTATGTTATTAATAGCTATACACCATATCCTAAATTTTAGATGCGATTAATTTCGATGCATTCAGTTTCAACTTTAAGGTATCGGTAGTCAGTAAAATAATTTTGTATTTGGATGATAACAGTCAAATCAACTTTTAGTAATATTATATTTCAAAACGTGAATACTGTACCTAACGTGACTTATTTAGAATACAATATAGTTAAAATTAGAATCCCTAGCTGCATGTTAAAAATTGGACAGCTAGATGTAAAATGCGCTTAATTTTTGGATAATATTGGGTTTAATCAACTTTAGACTACTCTGAAGCACTATTTATATGTATACTAGCAACCATGGCTAAGTTGTCTATTGCCCAGTATATAGCATAGTTTATTGCTATGATTCAACGTAATAAATCAGTAAGTAATTAAATAAAATAGACTTCAGTTGTTTAAATATAATGTTGTTATACCTGAATCCTAGCTAATATGGTTAAAATATCATCAACTATCGCTATCAATTGTTTTCTTGTTCCGATTATAAAGTATAACGTAGTGCAGTGTCAATTCTATCGTCTAGAAGGTTCCCAGAAGCGATTACAATCGCTTTAAATGACTATAACTAGAGGAAATCATTTAAGTATGAATTAAAAATGACTAGTGATAGTATTGAATTATCTTTAAACTGACGAACAGTACTTTAAGAGACAAAGTATTTAAAAGCTATTGCAATTCATTTAAAAGAGCAATGTTCTAAGCTTGATTCATCAAGAATAAATTCGTCTAACATTGAAGTATTTTTAAGAGAGGGTTTTATAAGTAATAAGTACCTATTAAACTGCAAATAAAACGTTTTTGTACATTGATTACATGACACTACTAAAAATCCTACCTCGGTCTGAATCAAAGTGCTATAAGAAAACTAAAAGTCATTTCTACAGTATGATTGCATTACAATTACACAGTTTTAATATGTACAGGATCGCATTAAACAAATAGGACAAATGATGATTATCAATGTTAATAATTAAAATTAAATGTACGTTCACTTCGTGGATATAGAATCACATTGTTAATATTTCTAAAAATTAATGCGTGCTTTCTATTTTATTAGATTATGATATCGATTCCGAAGATGCTATAAAGGAAACTTTTACCACCTTCGATAAAGACGGCGATGGATACATTTGTGTAGATGACTTTGTTTCTGTCATGGGTCAAATGAATAGCACCATAACTCGCGAAGAAGCCACTAAAGTCATTCAGGCTGCGGATGAAAATGGAGATGGCCTGATAAGCTTTGATGAATTCATTCAAATACTGCAAGCTACACGCAGTACAACCGTTAATTAGATCCTGATAATCTCATAAGCAGGCCGAATTTTACTTCAAGCTATAAAAAATTAAGTCCATGACCTCATTCATAACACTTGTAAACACCCCGATAATTTTATGGAAGTCGTGGCCTACAGGCTCCAAATGCACTTATTTCTTATTTAATAGTAAATTTTTCGCAATGTTTGCGATACGCGTACAGAAAAGAATTTTATTGGCTATTAGATAATTATCCATTAAATTTGATTCTTGAATTTATCACTATTTCGCCACGTAATTACTAGATAAATTTCTTCTTACATCAAAATATTTAATTCGTCTCTGTGACATTAGAATCAAATAATTTTTAAACGCAATCCAAGAAAAAAGATATTATTTAATTAAATGATATGGTGCAGTAGTCAAACGTAGGAATAAGTAGAGTAGAATCTAATTTAAAATACGACTCTTGTATCTTTGTGTTACTTTTGACACTTATTAATAGTTGGTTACCAATTTTCCACAATATATCTGATAGAGAATTTTTAATAATTAATTCAATGGTTAACATAAAAGACGATTAGACACGCTACGTATTGGCAATTAGTAAATTTATTGTAATCGAAATTATAAATATATGAAAAGCATTTCTTCTGTTAAAGGGCATATCAGCTATAATTGTTCATTAAGTACAATTTGCAAGAATACTTAAATAAGAAGTAAAATTCGCGCTCTTGCAGAATATATTGATATTGAAAAATTTTATTGACATAAAAATTTTTGCCTATTCTAAACCATGCCATAAAGCAATCGAAATATTAAACTTCAATTGAATTTTATGTAAATGAAATTGCAAAGCACAAATTTAGAAAGAATAAAGTCGAAAGTAGTCTTTATGAACATCGAAGTGATAAGAAAGCTTAATTATTTATCTTATCATTAAGCTCCAAAAAAGGCTAACAAATACTAAAACTAATAACTGTGCGTAATAATTATACAATTCTTAACAAATTTATATAAAATAATTCGAAAATGTACTAAGTTGCGTATTTATTTGCTGTCGACCAGCATATCTGTTATCCCTGTATTGTAAATTGCTGGTAATTTGTGCTACAAAAAGTAATAAATTCTGAATGCTACTAATCTTCAATGCCTAATTGCTATTGCTTGAAAACTTGTTATAAATTTTAGCCTTGCTTTTAAGGCACTTCACTTAGAAGAATCATTTGCAGAAGGTATGCATAATTTTCCTCTCCCACTCTCCGTTTGTCCGTGATGCTATTACAAAAAAATTGGTTCTACTTCATGTATACTCGTATAGATTAGGAGTTGTTTGTGGATCAAACTACAGTACAGTACTATCGCTTGACAGGTTATAATTAACGAGATCTTAAGTATGAATAAGACCTACCATGATCTTTTTCTAGCAGTCCATGGACCTGCTAACGATTTAACACAAAATCTTACCTGGTATGAAAATAGTCTTAAATATGTTTGTCACAATAATTATCGTTGTAATAGTTCCATAGCTGGTTTAGTCTGCTAGGAATTGATTCCAAGGCAAAAATGCTATTGTAACTGTACCTTATAGTAAGTACCATCGCACGAATTAAATCAAGATCAATCAAGTAAAACAACATTTTTATCTAAATTAATTACTTCTAGCATTATATGCGGTCCTATATATTAACCATAGTTAATAAATCTTTCACATAGATGCCAATTTAGGTGGTTTCTAAGCAAGTAGATATGCAAATAATTTGTGAAATGTTGTGGTGCTCCAAGTGGCGGTATTAAACAACAGTCTTTCTTACCTACCGGTTATCTTAAATAGCCAGAAGTAGCAGATTGTCTATCATTTCAGTCAATCAATCAAATCGCTATTGAATTTATTGATTAAATTATAGTGATACAGTTTTATAAATACTTCGCAAAAGCCCAAAAGTTAAACACACACAGTTTTCTTTGAAAGTACTGAAGAAATAAATTTATAGTTGTGCGTTTAGAAAATCTACTAACTTAATTAATTAAACGAGCGTGCTATACTATTAGCTCTAAGTAGCCACTCGATACGTACTGGAAGAGTACAAACACAATCGGGAAGATAGAAATTGATCTTGCATTAATTATTTGCATTCTTGTTTCAAAATGCCTTTTACACTATTGTGATCACAAAAGGTCACCTAGATAGAGATGCGCATATTGCGAAATAATATTGATATACAATAAAAATTTAAATTATCTTAATTACTCTAAAGTAACGTAGAGCACCTTTTTAAGGTCATCAATAGTATTGGAAGCCATTTATAAGTTTTAATTTCAGAAATTAAAATTTATTATTGTAATCATCCTTCGGTAGATGTTACCAGTGGATTTGATAGTGTTACTAAAGAAGTAAAATATCCACCTTATTCTGTACTATCGGTCTTAAAATTATGGCATTATCGTTAAAATAGCTTTCAATTGCATTATAATACGTCAATAAGTGACAATAGAAGACCTTATGCTATAATGCAATCCTAAAATGTTATGCAATATCCTAGAGAAGAAATTCAAGATAACTACTATAATACACTTTAATTTGCCGCTCTATACTTATAGCGCTGTCATCCGCCGTTAAATCATGTTCGAATGTATGACTATGATTGACGATATCGAATTCACCTTAAATTATCCTCCAGCCTTTATCAATTTTGAAATCCTCTTGAAACAGTACAGAAGTAAATTTACAACGAACAAATTTACTAGATCAAAATAAATTACTGTAGTTTGATGACTAAATATCAGAAGGCAGAGTTGTATCTGTGCTATTATAATATAATATAACTCTCCGGCGGCAGGCAGTCAACAACCTATGGGTTGAAACGGTATCCAATCATATTGATCTCTGACCCTTCGATAAACTTATTCCAGTTTTGTTAAATAGTATTTATCCAGCCTGATCATATTTAAGTCTTTAATAATTTCCAAAAATTTAGTTCTTGCCCTAACTTGCTCATCAACCAGGGAAAGGAAGTCTAAAAAATAATTATAAACATCGCAGTTTATTTAATTGTCTTAAGTAAATATATACGTTGCTCGATATTGATCTATTACATTACAGAGTGATTTATCTACACAGTTGGAATAAAGTATGCCTGCTGTTCGTATACTCTCTTGCTAGATCAATATGGAACGGTAATTATTTATTTTAGTTAAATAAATATTGTGATGATAAGTATTCAGACAAGCCATTTTAGTAAATTCATATATTGTACATCAATTGACTATAGAAAATTGATGACCTCGTGTTTCAGATCAGGCTGGATCCGTATGAATTAATATATCAGTTAACATCGTTTCAGCCTAAAATTGTTTTCAAACACTCTCTTATATTCTCCTTTATTATTTTATTAGGTTAAAGTACCATGATGAGCTTAATTTTCAACAGCTTGAATCATGGAATAAAATATATTAACACACTGAAGATTACGAAGGCGATCATATGGAAATTTAATACCTAGCCACCATCTACTTTTTAATTTTGAGATTATTATCATCAGTCCAGTAGTTGTGTAAAACTAGCAAATATCACATCATCTTCTATATTGATGCAATCTACAGTATCTTTGAGTATTTTTATTGAAAACACGAAATGTTTTACAGATTTTATTTTATTCACAATCTGTATGGAGTTATATTGTGAAGATTATAACGCTATAATTGAGTAACGCATACAACTCTATAATAATAACTTCGAATTATCTCTAATTAGAAAAAGATAGAATCCGCATAGTTCATTTTAGATTGATTACAAATTTTATTTCATCTAATAAGAACTAGCAATCATTTCTATCGAGATACTTTATGCATGTACATGCTTGATTTCAGGTCAACAAATCGCACCAAATGTCACTCAACTAGGCTGTGCTCAATGTTTATCGAGTCCTCAGCGATTTCTTTGGCAAAGGATTATTTGATGATCAATAATTGGATTGGACACAGCCATTCAATTCTTCATCTTAGCGATCAGTAGTAATGAAATGATGGGGTTATGACAATATATCGAAAATTTTTAGGGCGTACTTTGATCGATGTCTCCCGATGAAAAGACTTTTACGAGTATATACGTTTTTTTGACTCAGCTAATTTCTTATAGTCATTGCTTCCATTGTGAGTTCTACTACCTTAGCTGACAATTTCGGCTGATGAATTTCCTTAAAGGTTCTATCTGGTCTATAGCCCACCGTAAATATAAAATTGAGTTTATGAATCAGATAATTAATCCACTGCGGATATCAACTAATATGGAACTAGTTTGCATTATAAATCTAACTCGCAACCCAATTTTTAGACGTATCTGAGAGCAGAATGACATATTTATAGGTATCCAACCAGCAATGAAGGTGATACCATTAATATCGACATTTCTTTTAGTCATTATATTGGCTGCAAATCATATGCTGTAAGCATAACAGTAGATCCAGCTATCATGCCGCAATTAATACCATAAACTTTAATATTTTCCTCACTCACAATTTGAGAGCCTATTTGATGACGTAAAGATTGGTAAAGCATTGTTCAGTACACTATATAAACTGATTACTTTATATTTTTACCCTCGTATCCTATCAAATACTAACTACAAATCTTATGCTCTAGTCGTAACAGTGGATCCCACTGTCAAATCCAAATCAATACTGTAAACTTCAACATTTTCCGGACCTCATAATTAGTATGCCCGTTTGATGACGTAAGGATAGGTAAAAGCATCACTCAATATGCTAAGTAAACTAATTACTTTATATTTTTGCCATCCTATACAGAGCTATACCAGTAGTTGCTCTATTTTTACTTACTCAGCCAAACGATCGTAACTTTTTTATTAAACAAGCCGCATGCATCTTAAAACGAACTAATGTATATGCACGTATATTCTCGCTACTGACTGCAAGATTCCGCCGTTATAAAGACTATTTCCATAGCATCCTATAGTTCAATTCATGATTTAATTCCTGATTACCAACAAAGAGAATTAATTGCTCGGTTAGACTCCTAGGCAGAAAATGAATGCGGGAATATGTATTTAATAAGTTACATTATAATTATACTGGTTGTATTACTAACTCTCCTCCTGTATTGATACCGAATTAAATGCCGAGATCAATAGAATTTAGTTTTTAGTTAATTACACCATTATTCGCCATTGACTATTGCATTAATTGAAGCTGACAATAACCACTCTTTCTTCATTTCAAGATGAAGAGCTGATTGGTGATTTAGTGTCATGATATTGACACTATAGGTCGCTAACTTTTGTTGGAATAGTAAATTAAAGCTTACCGAAATAGCAATAAGCACGCGATCAAAGAGACTTCTAGTAAATTATAATTCTATTGTGAGAACAATATATATTCAAGCCAGTCGTTTTATAAATTGTTGTTCGTCCAATAGAACTTGTTTCCTTGTTCAACCATCTGAATTAGCAAAAATTAAATCGTATAGTGAAAGCAGAAATGCTTTCTACAAGTACTAATTTACGGTTAAGAATACTTTAAAAGGTTGTTGAATCAGCCCTAGCGATGAATACTCGCTATTCTAATGGCTCACGTACAATTAAGTATACAGTACAGCAAATTTGTTTTATTTTTAAATCTACATAATAAATATTTATTTTCTACATAATGCTAGGTGATCGATATAATTATTACTGGCAAAGCCAATGTAATGTATTCTGCATTCAGTAAATAAGTAACTGTACGAAATCCTATTCGTCCAATTCTATCATCGGCACTTATCAATATAAAATCAACACGCAACAGTGTCTCTTACCATTTTGCTTCCAGTTGCATTCGGCATTGATTGATGCTTAAGAGATAACTTTTGCCGTGCCTACTGACAATTAAGCCATAAAATCAATCATTAACTAGTGTCGTAAGTGAATTAATCTAAATCTCAAGTGAAATTATTCACACAAAATGGAAAAAAAAGCTATTGAATGTGTTATTATTTTCTCTTATCTAGACCTAGAGGAAAAAACTGTGCTCATGAAGTCCATTTTTGGTCAGTCCTAATAAACTAGCACAACGATTTCTGTCAAAACAGCATAAAAAAAATTGGTTTATCTCGAACAAGTCCTGCGGTTGGCTTTGTACTATACGTTATATAGGTAAAAGGGTAGAAACCTTGCTCTTAAAGAAAGTTTACATCCACACCAGCGATGCTGCTGTTGAATCTCAGGCAAATCTAATTAGCCGGCTTTATTTTTTATCACTGCACCACCGCTGGTATTGATACAATTCGGATTGAAAAAAAAAATCGTAATAATTTACAACATTGGAGAATATAAGTGTTAATCTACCTGTAGCACTTTCAAAGCAATAAGTGCAAGTTAATCCACAATCAATATTTATATTTTTGTTAATTGGGTGATTGGATTATTTCAGAATCAGGACCTTCTGTTATTTCCAGAGAATAAAAGATACCGCAGATATTAGGCTAATAGAACTAATAATTTAGAAACGATCTATTTATCCAATGGATATCCAAACAGATACATTAAAATATTGAATCAGTACTCATACGGGAGTACATAATAATAGTTTTATTAATACAACTATCAGCCGGCTATCCGACGCCATAAAGACGAAATAACATAAGTTTTGGGATTTATTGCTAGTCACGCTTCCGTTTAGCGGAAAATATATATCTCCACAAGTGTACTCCTTCAATCGCTAATCAAGCAAGCCTTTTCATATATTAGGGATTTACTTTTAATACATGAAATACAAGTAAAGCATTAACCAATTTGATATATGAGGGCAATAAATTTTCGTATATGTAGTTGATCGACTAAGCAAGTTTATTATTTACCGTATATAATTAATTATCCAAAATTTCCGTCCGATACGGTTTTCTCAATTAGCAAATTCAGGATCCTAACACAACAACAGTTTCAATATTAATTCGTTACTGTGCCACAAAAATCTAATTTATTGCGATATTAACAGTCATTTGGTCATTAGAATGCTATGATTTAGATAGATTTATCTTGATTCAAGCCTTATTTCATATTTAATGATCTGCAAGCGACAATTTTAATTCAAGTATGAATTTCCCCTTTAACAATAGCAGCAGCACCGGTGCAGAGGCAAGGATTTGCGGCAGCATAACAACATTACCTGCGCCTTTTATAGTATTAATCATTTTCTATGTGATCGTCTTTATCCTCGCTATGTTTGGCAATAGTGTTATTGTTTGCGTTATCATCAAGAACTTTCATCGAAAATTTCGAACTTCCATGCATTTGATGATTTTTAATTTAGCCATAACTCATCTACTATTAACAGGTCTTAGTTTACCCATAGCATTAAGCCGTGATATTCTAGGCTACTGGTTTGCCAATGATGCGTTATGCTACTTCTATGGATCTCTAACCAATGCTTTAGCTATTGTTGAAATGCTAACTATGGAATTTATGACAGTAGAACGCTATCGTGCAGTGGCTAACTACAGGAACAGAAGCTTAACTAAATCACAAGCCTCCATTGGGATCGTTGTGATCTGGCTGGTTGGCATTTCTATCGTTTTACCCTCTGTGATATCACCAGTTTTTCGTGATCTTCAGACTACAATTTTTTGTACGTACAGATTTCATTCTTATGAGCTACACAATTTAATATATACAAGTATATTATTGATGATTGTATATTTGATACCATTTGCAATTATCATGCTATTATACAGTTGTTTAGCTTATAATCTACGACATCATAATATAGAAGTCCGTGAACGATTAGGAGAGGCTGCTGTTAAAAATAATCGCAAAGTTACAAACATCTTATGGATACTTTCAGGATCATTTTTCTTATGTTGGCTACCAATTTTTATTTGTGTGATATTAATTGCTTTTTCAACGGCCTATATCCGGAAAAATTTTTGTACTTTTCGAGCTTTCTTCATTATTGCTCATCTGTTAGGTTATGTTTATGGTGTTGTTAATCCATTAGTCTTAGTTACGTTAAGTGATGCCTATAAAAATGCAACATGGCAACTATTTCATCATAAAATCCTACCAACATCACCTGGCCAATCGCCAGCAATTAAACGGACCATAACTCAACAAAGCTTAATCCATAATAGTAGCAGAATTGAAGGAAATCAAAGTAGTGCCACTGAAATGTAAATTTGCTAATCGATGGACATAGATTATCAAGGTCACTAAACCTATTCCAAAGATCTAGCTACCGTGAACAGTGTTCACAATAAGTGCCACCATGATTAAGAATGCAATCTACAGTATTCTGTAGGTATCGATCATACTTAGTATCGATTTTCCGTCGGCAACAAATCAATCATCGTAGCAAGACCAAGCCTAAATTTTTATTTTCTGATATTTTAACCGGTGTTCAAACAGATAAGATTGCTAAGCAAGTACGTATTTCTAAATCGTTATCATCGTTATTCCATGAATAATATTCACCTGTCTAACGGACTTACAATCCCAACATTATAATAACACGTGTATTGCATCTACTATAATTTCTCTTCAGTTAAAAAACGAGCTACGTAATGCACTTTAATGAATAATATATTTGGCAAACTTTACGACAGCCAATGGTTTTTACTGATAGTTATGTAACTCACCATGTATACCATCGGCCTAGTACGGTACTTTATTTTCTTATAATCTTAATTTAATGAAGCTAAGATAATTTGAGCTATATCCACGTTTAGAATTTCTAATAGGAAAGTCATATTAAAATAATATCTGCATAATATGCATAATTTGCCGTCAAAATTGTGGCAATTAAGTTATGATTAATTAATTATAATAACGTGATGATATAATTCTATCATGAAAAAAAGCTGCTATTCAAATTTTGAATATCCATAATTTGACTGCTATCGTTTCTTATAACTTTAACTATCGTACCTACCAATTAAAGTTTGTAATTGTAATTCATTCAACATCGATTGTAATCACTATCGTAGCTGTTACAATTTCAAAATATTGGTAATTTGTTACAAGAAAAGAAAGAAAAATATGTCTTACGGGAATACTTCTAGAAGAGTTGATCGATTGAACTTTTGCTATTTTCACCTTAATGTCACTATATAAACTATTGAACGGTTGGAATAGCGCTATTTAACGACTTACATCCGCCAATAAATGAGCGAACTTATCAACAGTAAGATAACGGAGCGGAGCGATGGCTTATGTGAGCTAAGAAACTATCAGTAGAAAAATGTATAGTAATACAATACTTTATCAGCAGTAACGATGCTTACTTTGCTATTTCTGTATAGTCATTAGCGAGAACACTATATTGTAAGAGTCAGGATTCAAATGTCGTATATTCTGTACTGCAGTAACAGTGTTAGCTAAGTTTTTCTTCCTTTCTCAATACAAAATCTTAACTGCATTTGAGTCATGATCATTCGAAACTTGGGTTATTACTCTATCCAGGTATTAACTATGAAGCCGCATCCAAAAATACGGGTATGAAATTGTATCTTGGCGAAGATATGTACTCCTCAGGTACAATCTATGTATCACTTCATTCGTATTACGAATTTACTCCAACTACTGCAGATTATATTAGTATTACTAGATGAAATGGAAATTTAATCTATTTTGAAACTATTGTGAAGTACGAGTCGTAACTTATTTGGCTTGACTTGTGTCATGCATTCGACTGAGCTTGACCTATCCATTAGTAATGAAAGGGATGATTGATACAGAAGATTTAAAACTGGTTCAATTTACGACTTTATGTTTAACGTTACAACTCTTTATTCCACTGTAAATTGTACAATCATTATAATCGACATCAACCACAGTGCAGATGATAAATTGCAACATTAACATAAAAAGATTAAAATGTACAGCGTATAGGAGTGATCTAAAAATGCAATACAATAACTTTGAAATATCTTATCATCATTCTATTGGGTTAAAATAAATGCCAAATAGCAGTAATAATGCCAATCTTGAATGCGTTAAGGTCAAACTACGAAATATTAAATGAGCGATCCATTTTCTCCTTAGAGTCAAAAGTAATACGGGAATTGAATACAACGGCAATAACTCTTACAGAGACAACAGATTTACATTCAAGCAATAATTTTTGGCTCAGCAATTAGTTAGCATTATCATAGTTATAAACCATATACTTATTCATAACAATTGATGCCATTTGCTAATTGCATTGAAACTAGCCAAATAGAATGAATTAAATGAGCTGACTAATGAGACAAGTACTACTGATTCGCATAGGTACACAATCGTTGTACAATGTCAGCTGGGAAAAGTAAAAGATTAAAAGATATACCGTATTAATATATAGTTATAGGGATATACCAAGGTATTCCCATATGCAAGATCGAACTATCTAATAATAATTAATAGGCTACAGTATATGTTAATAATAAGAAGAATAACTTCGGGGTATAAGATAACATTCCATTTAGAATATAACTAACGATTGATTAATTTCTAGCCGAAAGAACAGGTTTACATAATCCGACATTGATTGTCAAGTTGTTGAAAACCTAACCAATCCAAGTACCTCATACACAACTACACTGATTTTAAAATTAGAGCATACAATTTACACATTTGTTTACACAATGGTAAGGCCAAATGAGTTTACAATGCTTAATGTTGCCGTGATGACTAAAAAAAAAAAATACTGTAATACACTACTGCAGCCAAAATGGCAATTGCAATGACAAATACATCAATATTATTATTAAGCGAAATTATTACACTTCATCAGTTTCAAGACACAAAGCTATTCTCTAGCATTGCATTACAGTATCCCACATGGCACGTATTATATTTTCCTGTACAAGATTACCGATAATCAACAATAGCAACTACATATCACAGCAACGAGAACAAAAGTTAACTTCAGCACTCCGATATTATGAGTACTGCTATAACTGTGTGATTACAGAATGTCTTCAACGAACGTTTGTTGGCAATTTATAATAATTAATTAATTAATCAATTCACTATTACGGTAAATAATCATTGCGCTAGCAATATCATACCAATCCAACCGGATAAAACTGTACAAGTACAAAATAATCTATTAAAGTTTCATTTTTTGCACCTGTTAACTCGCTGAAAGTAAAAAAAAAATCTATCTTCCTATTGAATTTTTGTAATATCGAAGGCATCTTTATCAACACAATTTTTAACAAAAAATGATTCACTACCAAATCGGCCTTAGTAAAAGCAGTATTACGGTGCAAACAAGAATACATACAATTAAATTTACGAAGATGCAGCAGCAGCATTTGATACGTTGTCATTACTAGCTCCAGCAGAAGGGCCGTCAGTCTTTGTTGAAGACTTATACGAAGGTACTAAGATAGAGTTTAGACTTGGTTGAATGGACAGTTCTGTAGTACGAAAGATGAAAAAAAATTTTTAAATTGATTATTATATGCAGTGGACAAGATCGTACTTCTAGGGTACGATAATAGACAGCGTATAATTTACTATAATAAAAAAAAAATAAGGTGTCCTTCAACTTTTAATTGAGCAGAAATTACATACCATGAGGAGTAAAATTAAAAAGTGGTGGTAATTCTCTACCATTTGGCATTTTGCAACCCGGTTGTCTTAAATCGTCAAAGAAATTATGTGCTAGACAATCCAATGTTGATAATCGCTTGGATGGCGTGTACTCTAATAGTTTGCCTATTAAAGCAATTGCCTCGCTACAGGTCCTTGTTCGAAAGACCTGAATAATATAAATGAGATATATTACAACAGGATAAAACAGACGATCGATAATAAACGATGGAGTGTTATTATTATGTAAAGAATAACACTAGAGTGAGTATTAACTGAAAAAATTTTGTAAATAATTGATCTTACTTTTGCCCATGGATGAGCTTTGATTTGAGGAAATTTAAATTCAGTATAATTGGGATTCATATCACGAATTTGATCTCTGGTTGGTGTCCCTAAAACTTTAATGATCTCTACTAACTGATCGACTCCACTTTCACCAGGAAAGAGGGGCTGTCCTAATAAAAGTTCAGCTAAAACACATCCAGCCGACCACGTATCTAATGTACGAGTAGATATAATAAATCCTCTCATTAATTCGAATGTGTGTATTATTTGCGTTACAAAGAAGACAAAATTAGAATAAAAGCTATGTGTTTACTGTGACATAACCGATACTGGTGAATAAATTAATATAAAATATTAACGTACCGATTTTCACAGTGTAATCTGTAGCTCCAAATATTAGTTCAGGTGCACGATAGTAGCGTGAACAGATATATGAAACGTTGGGTTCGCCTTTGACTAATACCTTTGCACTGTATATTAAAAATACATTCAATTGCAATTTAGTTAACTCTTTTTTTTCGATTAAACCCTTGTTAACAAGATAAAAACTCGTATGTAATACAAGTCGTTGAAACTGCAGAATAATAACAGCAACATAGCAATAAATTATGATTTAACATATATATATATCTATACATAATTTCAATTATATGGGATAAATAAAATTGATCGTACTTTACAACAATACTACACAAACTTTAATTGACTCTCATTAGTAAAACTGTCACATCGTTACCTTCCAAAGTCACACAACTTTAAAAGACCGGTATCTGGGTACAACAACAAATTTTGTGGTTTGATATCACGATGACATATACCATGAGAGTGAATGTAGGCCAAAGATCGAAACAGTTGATACAGATGAAGCTGTCATAAATAAGTGTTTCAAAATGTCAAAATAGAGGGTGTGGAGAATTGAAGAATTTTATTTACATTTTGATTTTGATTTTTACCTTGACAAAGAAGATTGGCATAGACTGTTTTTGTTTAGTAAAATGTCTGGCAACACGATAGACAGTTTCTGGGACAAACTCTAATACCAAATTGAGGAATATTTCATCCTTCTGTGAATAATTAAGAAGATTTATCATCATCATTATTAATTAGTGCATCGCATTAAACTTAAGGCAATAGGTGAATTGGTAACACAACATGACTAATTTTTCAAGTATAAATTTGTTAAATATTGCAATTACTACAAAAATTAATTAAAAATAAAAAAAAAAATGAATAAAAATTTCCAATGTACAAGTTATTTAAGCCCAATTAATGGCTATAAAATGGCATCATATAGAAAACATTGCGCTGTTCATTAATATGATTGCGTATTCAATTAATTATATTTAAGTATTTTGAATCGAACTAATTTTCTATACTGACCTTATCGCCGGCTGAATAGAAAAAGTAAAACAATTTCACGATATTGATGTGGTCTAATCGTCTCATAATCTGCAATTCACGATTCTATCAGCAAAAAATAATGCATCAATAATATTAGCTTTAGGAATGTCAATTACATAAGGTGATTATCTACAAAAATGCAATAAACATTCTTTTTTTGGAATAGTAAATTGCTCTCTATTTCTCAAACTTGTTATTGAGTGCAACATGAATCAATTGATGGATTAATTAAAAACAACAATCATCAAAATTATTCGATTTAAAAATAAAAATGACAAAAAGAAATGTTCAATGTAATTGATAACAGTAGCAAAATAGTTGAAGGATGAAAAAAAACAAAAATTAGTGCAGTTATCAAGAATCAGATAGAGATATTAAAGTGTATCTTGTTATTGCAATCGTTCTGGTTGTCGATTTATTAGTTGATAGTAGCGATTATGATTCCAACCAGCTAACATTATTATCATTACTATAACCATTATTTTTACCCGCAGTAATGAGGCAGAAAGAGTAATATTAAACGATTGTTTTCATGCGATCATTCGTGTATTATTAAGTACCCAAATTACGACAATATATAATAGTAATAAGTATAGCGGAGCCTTTTAACAAGACAACAAAGAAGGAAATATTCTTGTAGAATAATATTGAAAGCAGAGATTTTAAAAGTAGATTAATGATCATATTTTTGGTTTTATAGTGATGTATAGAACGACAATTAATCAAGTACACTTAAGGATAATAAGTACGATAAAATTACTATCCATCTGAATACGAAATAGCGTTAACAAGATTAAAGTCGAAAAGAAATCAATATTAATTGCAAATTAAATTAAAACGACAAACCTTGAATCGTTTATCCTGCAATACTTTCTTAATAGCAACAATTTCAGTTTCATTGCCTAACAATTTCGCTGAGTAGACTACACCAAAGCTGCCATTACCAATAACTTTTGTATCGGTATAGCTAATTTCTTCGTTACGATCAGGAAGTTGTCCATAAGTTGCTTGAACACTTGTAATTCGTTGGCCATCCTTATCACCTATTGCATGAGCAAGGTACAGGTATAACTTGTCAATGGTCAATCAATATCATTTCTGAATGATGACTTATTCGAATTTAAAAACAGATATTGATCATTTCTATAGTGTCTACCTACTGTATATTAAGAATAAAAATACCTTGAACAATAATGAACTGTTTGAATAAAGTTGAGAAAAGGGGCAATGATAGGGTAAATTGGATAGAATTAACTTGACTCCGTTAGACATCAATTTATAATATACACTACAGTATAGAATGTCATTTCGTTTTCATAAAGATAACAATATAAAATAAAAAAATTCTTAAATAAATGATAAATTAAACATGATTCATTTATTGTTGTAACAATGTTACGTCCCAGCATCATGATTAGAATCTTATTACTATGGCATAACACAATCTACAATATTCTTTCATAAACTCCATTTAAATAATTCTAATTCTTCCATGTTATGCCATCTTTTAACCTGGACCTATTTTAAACGTTGACACAAATGGTCAGCAACCTAGACTCGATTGATAGTAATAAGACAAACTTAAACAATCAAGACGGCTATTACTGTACTATGTAATTCACTTTTCTTTTTCTTTCTCAACTTAATCGAAATGGAAACTTTTATAGCATACTTTGACTATTGTTAGTATAATGACAGAATCATCTTTATAGTATCGTTTCCTTCATCGCTACTTCAATTGACAGTTTCAGACCACTACTCTTGCACTCTAGATCATGATCTTTCCGATCGTTCTTTTCTACATTAATATAATAATCATGGTGATATAGGCCACCATACAATGAATATTTCATTTTGTTTATCATTCAAGAACGTTATTTCCCGCTCATTGACTGTCCATACAGTACTGTTTAATTTATGTACGAGACAAAGTGCGATTTTAGAGCTATTTGTACTGCGACTATGGCATTGAAGTCATGTCAACTTTTTCACTTTCAATTGATAGGTATAATAGTAAATAGGATACAAACATGTATAAATCCAATTTTACCCTACATTATCCTATTTTATGTATATATATATATATATATATCATTGAATTCTACTGTATATTTACTGCGATAAAGGTCCGTCTGCTACAGAATGTAAAGCGTGCATTTAATGAAAATAACATAGACAGATAGATAATACCCAACTATCCTGCAATATTACAGTAACTCGTGTTATAGTTTATCTCTCCAATGGTCATAACTCTCTTAAGTTTTATGATTCGAGAGTTTAAACGTCTACTCATCTAAAGGTGGATAAACTGAGTTTAACCATCTACCATCAAAAGAGAATGAAGATTAATTAACTATTGAATCCTTGGAACTATGGGGAAAAAAGGTCATTACTAGCTTCGACAACAAAAGGAGTTTGTAAAATAGAGTAAGGGTACTTGTACGTTGAAGTTTATGTTGAAAGATATTCATCAAACATAATTCAAATATGATTGAATATGAAATGATGTTGTTTTATACAATAACTCAGTTGCATCATTGGACTTCAACTACACGACGGTTAAGCTACTGTAACTTAGCTGGCATCTAGTCGGTAGGGGAAAAAAAAGAGTCGAAGATAAAAAAGATGGAAATGATATTATCCTAATTTATAATTTGTAAAATCTCACTTAAAAGTCTTGACTCTACTAGCCACTTCATGTTGTAAATGGAGAGCAATTGGCGTTAACAGAGTATCATTGATAATTGAGGTTGGCGCATCTTCACTTAATTCTACGATATGGATGAACTACATTGAATTGGATCGAATGGAGAAATATCGACAACGATACAACTTTAAAAGCGTGAATGAGCTTTTATGCAATATACTTTACTGAATTAACCTTTCAGCCGACTGTAAAGTATGGGAAAAAAAAATGCCGCCTACTTTACTAGTAACTGTACTAAATAACAAGTCCAAGGGTATCCACGTATTATTATTTCTTTCTTTTTAAAGCGATCCATTCCATGTTAGCAATTTGATATGTACATCATTTCACATCATACAGTGATACAACCAAAGTAAGATGGATCATTTGCTACTTTCATGCATGCGACATAGTTTAAATGCTATGATAGCAAGTAGCTCCAAGGTACATATGGTTCAAGAGATTTTAAACATGATTGGTGCATTATAATTCTTACTTACGGGTTACTTTCAGATCGCCAACGACGGTATGCTGCGGTTTGGCATGATTGTCGGCAAAAGATGTCGTTCTCAATCTCCCAGTACTCATGGTGTAAGAAGGTGTCGTTAGCGCTTACGATCGAGCAAGGAGGCAGGAGATAAAAATGATGAAAAAAGGCTTAAAGTAAAATTGAACTTCAAGGAATGAGAATGGGTTCTATCACTTGTCAGCAAAATAGACAGGCAAGAGATGACACCGTCAAGATACTAATTAAGATCAATTCGTCGTTCGTCAATTGAGTGTAGTAAATGTCAGTCAAGCAGTTATTGAAGAATCCAAGCCAAGTTTCCAATGGAGTACGATGTTGTACCAGTAGACTATCTTTCACTAAATCATGATCAAGTGGTAAGCAATATATTCAATGTATTTTATTACTAAGTCTGGCGATTGATCCGATTCAATTGATTGAGCATTAGTCATCAGTGTCAATTATCGATTCTTACCTCACTTCTTGTATCTCAACTCTATCGTTGGAAGCGCTTCTATATGCAATTTCTTTCTCTTGTAGCTTAATTGCTTAACCTTTAATTGTCGTCCATTTAAAAATAATCAAAGCGACAAAATACAAATGAGAAAAAGGACATGCAAATTACAAGAAATTCAAACATGGATATGACAACTCAGTCTACTAGAAGTAAGTGACGACAAGTTCAGGTACATCATTAATTGATTTAATCCTAGTCATCAATAGGTCCGCCATAACATTAGCAGTTTCGATCAAATTTTGGTCGTGTAAAACATCCAATTGGATTTAGAAAGGGCAAAAAAAATGGTGCAATCGCATAGGAGTGACTATCAGTTGGAAAATTTGGGGGGGGGGGGGACCCTTTAATAGCATTCAAATAATATGTTCACCCCCAAAAAAGTGGTAAAACAAATAAAAAAGGACATCCTTAAGGTTAAGCATGGCGATGGCCCCGAGAGAGGGTACTCGTATTTGTTACTACGCGTTATTCTAGTGTATTGTACTTGTAATGATTGATCGATCGTTGATGGACGATTTTACAAATGGCGAAGTATGGTATCTTAACGGGCTTGGATGATGCCAAGGTCGAGAAAGGAATACCGCAAGGCTAAGAGAACTATAACTACCTTTTTTTTTGGTTTCAGATAGAAGGATGATTCAAAATTGATCGAGTCAGCGTGGTCTTTATGGAATCTGCTGCTGTAACCGAGGTAGTGTTGGAACCATCTCCCCCCCCCCCCCCCCTCACCAATAAAAAAAAAGGCTAGATAGTACAAATTCCATAAATATAATGGAAGATAACTCTGGATCAGTGTGGGGAATCATGGAGTAGTAAAAACTGTCTTGAGTTGTAGTTGCAGCCTTTCAATGATGTCCAATACAGTACTGCTAGGATAAAAATTGGTAGAACTCGATGATGGTAACGCTAAGACAAAGTACGATGTTATTGTAATGTTCCAAGTGGAAGTCAAAAAGAATATCAGAATAAGTAATTTTTATTTTTTGCAAGTATTCTTTTCCATCCAATTTGACTTGGTGTATGTACAGCTTACACTGACTTTACCAACGGGTTGGCCATTTTTTTTTTTCTCCCACGACTTTCTTCATGACAATTAAAATCAGCATAGGATGAACGATTGGAAGAAGAAAATGTTGCTGACTAATGGACGACCCTTTTTTTTTTTCAATGTAGCTTGGAAATTGGTCATGGAAGAGTTTGAAAGAAGAGAAGAAGAAAAAAAAAAGAAAAGATGAACAAGGATGCTGTACTCGATTTGAGCATGGATAAAGAAGCCTTTTCAATGGATGAATAAAGCTAGTATGAAGAAGAAGCGCTTTAACAACTAGTCTAAGAAGGCGACTTTCCACAGTCATCCACTGCATGCAGTAAATGCCAAACGTACGTCGCAATTTTTCAGCCTGCAATGGATGAGTAAGAGGCCAATCTTGGACAACAAGAAAGACATGGACTCAAGTCTTCTTCTACACCAACCATGATGGATCAGTAGAAGAAAATGGCATCCATAAATACCAAAGCCATGACTAAAGTATATCTCCATGTTGGAAATAATGATGAAAAGACCGAATTACAGTGCTTTCAATGGATCGAATTGGGGGGGAGATATCGTCAGTCAGCGCAATCCTTTTGATAGCCCCCTCGTTTAACACTAATTTAATGGACTTGTCCAAAGCCAATCATACCGTCATCAACATGAAAGTATCATCTACTTCTTGCTGACTATCTTCTCTCTCTACTGATCAAGACATGGACAAAAAAAAAAAGATGCATAGCCGATTCCAACTTACATAATCATTGGCATAGTACCGCGTTGATGATGATGAAATGGACTTGCAATCCACTTGAAAGTCCTACTGACTAAATGATAGCTCGGCCTATGGTCTAATGACTGCAATGCGCTTGCCGTGATGGCAGCAAGATGGCGCTAGTGTGGTGGACAAAAAAAAATCCAAGCCGAAGACTAATGCTTCCAAAACCACACCCACGGTACTATCGTTCTGACCGTCGCTTGCTGTTGCAGGGCAAAGATGGCTGGGTGCCGGGGGGACCGACCCACGTGACAGGGTTGGACCAATGAAGCTTGGTGTGCCCTCCAACCACG